GGGAGAGCGGCCGGGGGAGCCCCGCTGAGCAGCCGAGAGCTGGGCTCGCCACCCCGCACGCTGGGGCTGCTGGACAGCGGGGCCCAGGAGAGCGGAGTTTGCCCAGCCTGGGCCCCTGAAAGACACTAACTGTGATGGATGTGGGTGAGATAGTTAATAAAAGGTAGATAATGGAGGCTGCCTGAGGCTCTATAGCTGTGCCCTGTCCTGGGCACCCAGATTCCTGGAGCCCAGCACTAGCCCTGGTGACCCACAGCCCTGCCCTCTGGGACTCAAGACCCTAGTCCAGGTTGTCATACTTGGCCCAGTAGGCACCCCTAGCCCTCCTCCTAGTTGCTGCTGAGACAAGCAGAAGGCCAGTTGAAGGGCAGCTCTGTTATTCAGACTGTTGCACGGTTTAAATACATTACATACATTTCTACAGTGCATTAGAACAATACATTTCAGGTCAGAGGGAGATGCAGCCAGGCCTGGCAAGGGAGCCAGGATCTCTCCCCCCCTCCCGCAATAAGCTGCTCTACCCCCTCAGGCTGAAGCAGCAGCATCCCAGCCAGCCTTCATCTCCTACCCCCAAGATGGACAAATAGGACAGCAAGGCCCCCCAGCAGCAGGAAAAGCCTTAGCTCTAGGCAAGCAGATGCAGGCAGAAGCCCTGGTACCATTTTATACAACAGCTTAGCAGCTTGTGGGAGAGGGGAACCCGCTGCCTCACGTGCCTGCACCAGGCCCTCGGATTGTCTGCACTGCTGTGGACCTTGCGTGCTCCCCATACAGGTCCTCTGCTGTGACTCCTACCCATGCAGCTGGAAGGACCCTTCCAGCCACCCCCTTCCCCTCAAGGGCACCGAGGGGCAGGCAAGGCTGGGGGCACACTGGCTGGCCTGGCACTAGCTGCACAGCAGCCAGGGACCTTGCTGGGAGCAGAGCAAAAGCCAAGCAAGAGCAGCTGTAGAAACACCTGGCAGAATGGATCGACCAGGGCCAGCAAGCAAGAGGCTGCTTGTACCTCCCCTTGGCCTTCTCCCCCCAGGAAGGGGTGAGCTCCTGCAGGCACACCTGCAGGGAGGGTGGCTAGGCTACAGCACCTCCTTCCCTTTAGTGTCTAATAGCATCCCAGTCAGCCCCAGGGAGCAGGGGTCCTCCCTCACATATCCCCCCCATCCCTCCTAGGAGGCCCCCAGCCAGAGAACAGCCTTTCATTACGGTCCCCACTGCACCAGCGGGCAGCAGGAACTCCCCCTGAGGAAAGCAGCGTGCATGGGGTTAGGGCAGAGAAGAGAAAATGATGAGTACAGCACACCCTTGGGGACAGGGAGGGGTGGTATAACCCACAGCAGGCCTTCCCAGCCTGGGAGCCAGCAGCAGGCACAGCAGGGAAGAGGAGGGCTAGCAGCCGGTGTGAAGGGCTGGACGGATCCCAGGCCCAGTAGCGGGGACCCTGCTAAATCCAGCTACAAGCAGGCATGCTCAGAACCACATGCAGGCCAAGGGAGGGATGCATGGGCAGGGTCCCAGTCATGCCAAGGCCTGTAGCTGCTTTCCACACCTCCCGCTGGGCTCCTCCCCAGGCAGGGCTGCATGCGCACAGCACCGAGCTCTGACAGAGCTGAAGAGGGGCCGTGCCCAACCTGCCTTGCTCCTCCAGTTCAGCTGCAGGTTCCTCCAGCCACGCCTGCTCGCTCTTCCCAGAACATCAGGTCCTGGCCACAGGAGCCAGCAGGTGCCCAGCTCCTCTCGTAATGCTAGTCCGAGGTGGCCGAGCCCTGCCTGTGGCTCCCACAGCTCCCAGCAAGAAAAGAAAGGCTTTCGGCTCTGGAAGCTCTGTGTATAGGACTCGCTGGCAGTGCGCTGGTGGGAACGTGCTGTTTCCACAATCACAGGTGGCATCTGGACTAGGTGCAGGGGGCTCTTCCCATCTTTCAGCGCCTGAGTTAGGTTCAGGATCTGTACAGCACAACAGAGGAAGGCCTGAGCTGCCCCTCTGAGCAGCAGGGAGCTGCCACACAGACAGGACAAGGCTCTATAGCCTCACTCATTTGCTTCCCCTAACACACAGCTTACCTGGCCTCTCATGACAGCAATCTGCTTGTGAAACTGTCCCCTGTCAAAGCCAGGGTCTTTCTGCAAGAGAAAAAAGAACAAACACAGTGGGATCTACCCTCTACTACACACCTTTTAAGAGATAGCTGTCTCCCCAGCAAGCTTCTCCTCTCCCATCCCACAAGTTTCCTGCTTCTCCCCATACCCTATCTTCAGCTTTTGACAGGGCAATAACCCTACTGTGCTTCAACCCCAGACACATTGCCAGGAACCTGGTCACCCTTCTGTCTCCCAAAGCCTTTAGAGGGAGCTCCCCAACACCACCCTTGCTCTTCCTTCTTCCAAGCCATCCTCACCCCCCCCTCAGCTCACCTTGAAGAGCTCATACAGATCTTCCTCCAGGTCTTTGACAAAGTTGGGGTCCGAGATCTTGGGAAGAATCAGGTCCTTGATCTCCTGTGAAAAGGGAATTTTGGCCTGGGGTAGCCATGCCCAGTAGAAGGGATCTGCAGAGGGAAGCAGGAGACATTAGAGCCAGGTGCAGCCCAGTAAGATAAAGGTGCCATGTGCTCCTGGGTGCTGAATCATCTGTGTCTGGGACACAGCGTCCAGCACTCATCTCCTACAGCCCCTGCTGAGGCAGGGCTGTCTGTGCATCCAAAAGGTTTGCAGAGGGGCAGCCCTAGCCATTGCCTCTCTCCAGTCCTTTCAGATGCCCCAAGGCCATGGGAATACAGCACAGAGCTGTATGGCTCCCCAGGGTGTCCCAGCACAGCCCAAGGGACTCACATGCTCTCCAGGAGTCCGGGTGTTTCAGGGGAAAGGCCAAACCGTTGTCTATAGCAGCCAGCTTGATGATGGGCTCTTTCACCACCACCCAGTCGCTGTCCTGGAAGGAAGGGGAGCACTGGTCACAAGGGAGACCTCAGCATGGACAGTCCCTCTCCTCCGCCCTGCAGCACTGCTGCCAGGCTCTTAGACCCCGCCACCACAGGCACGGCAGTCTCTCACCCACAGCACAGCCCCTTGCCCACAAGCAGGCATCATGGACAGATGCTAGGGCAGCTGCTGTCTCCTTCAGGCAGGAAGGAAAGCTGCTCCCCTCACCCCAAGAACGTGCAGGTCTCACATCCAGCAACACATAGGCACCAGTTTCCCCCCCCCCCCCCAAAGCCCTCCTGCACTGCCACAGAGAGTCCCACTAGGACACAAACCACCAATACAGAGGGCAAAGAAAGGCCCAGGAGACAAGATCAGGCCTCCACACACTCCGAAGCCTAAGCCAGTTGGGAAGTCCCCTGCCTGTCTGCCAGGCAACCAGCTTGCAAGCTGCAGACAAGCCCTGCGGTGCCCCTGCCCAGGAACAACCACTCACTCGCACGCCTGCGCTGTCCAGGGGACAATCATACTTGATGAGCCAGTTGTCATTGCCCCGATCTGCAGGAAGAGAGAACCAGCCACATGAGCTACAGCCCTGGGAAGCCCCATCAATCCCCAGGCAGCTAAAGAGGAGACTAAAGTGGTCCAGGCATTCCCAGCTCTCAGGAGAGGCACAAAGAAAGGTCAGCCTGCCAGCCCAGGAGTGCTGCTCCAGCCCATAATCCTTCCAGCCCAGAATGAACTCGGGAGGCCCAGCACGAGCTGGGATATTGCAGCACAGTCAGGGGCTTGGTGCAGGGTCCCTGGATGTCCTGGGATCCTTGCAGCTGGCAAACTTTTGCCCCAGCACCTGGGTAGACCCCAGCCTGGCCTCCAGAATACAGGCTTAGAGCCAAAGTTTGGCCGTGCTGGTGGTAGCCACAGCAGTTGTGCTCCACCCCAGAGGCAGCTGCCATTTGGCAACAACCAAGCGGTGTTGATACAGATTTGGGTGCTGCGAAGAGTTGTCAAGTTCCTGCCCACATCCCTTCTCTCCAGCTGGCAGGACATAAAGGAGCAGGCAGCACCCCAAGCGAGGCAGCTGGCTCTACCTGTGTTCCTGATGATGTAGTCCAACACCACCAGCCGCTCAAACTGCAGCAGCAGCTGCCGGTTGGTGTTCTCAGGAAGCGGCTCAGCTTCAAATCGCCGCAGCCAGTAGTCAGCATCCTTGTAGCCTTCCACAAAGAGCTGGAAGGAGCCCACCTGAAGGAAGGAGCAAGTTCGTTACACAGGGCAGCAGTAGAGGGAGAGGTGGTGACAGGCACAGGCCTAGCCTGAGAGCCCTACCTTGGGTGGCAGACCAATGCGGTTGAAGCGCTGGCCGACTTTCGGCACCTTCTCCAGGGCCAATCTCTTTCCTCGGGATTTTACTCTGTCAATGGCACTGTAGTTAAAGGTCTCACTGGCCAGATACACCACCTGAGGAGATGTCAGCACGCCAGTCAGCTAGGGCAACTGGGGCACCGAGGCCTCAGAGGCCTTGCCGATAACACCAAGACACAGCCCTTCCCACGGCTCTGCTCAGCAGCAGGTTCCCCACAGCCTGAGCAGGAGCAGTCGTGGGTCAGAGCTCTCAACACAAGATCTCCAAGGTTTAGAGTGCCACAAGACAAGCAGACAAGATGAGACTCCCTGGAACAAGAGCCCAGCAGCGGCCCTCTCACCTTTGTGCGGGGAACAATGTTGAGTTCCAGTTTCTGGTCCACAAGGCTGGCACCTGCCTCCGACAGGTAGCCCTGGTTCAGGACGAGACAGTCTCTTCCGAAGCAGCAGGGGCAGCACAATTTCTGCAGCCACTTGGTCCACTTGGGGTTCAGCTGCCCATACGGCTCCTCATTTTTGGGCTTAAAGACACCAATGATTTTCTGAGAACAAGAGAGAGGAGGGCTGACTCTCTGGGCAATTGGTAGGGAGTCAGGACACTCACCCCTGGGCCAGCCTGTGGCAGGGACGGGCTCTGCCAGAACAGAACAGACTCAGCCAAGCCACCCTCCCGCAGTACCCAGCCCCGCTGTGCCTTTCCCTGCTTCTTTCTGCCCATCAGCCACCTCAGATCCCCTCCCAGAGCAGGGGAGAGGCTTGGGCACTGCTCATCATCCCCTGTCAGGCACTCCCACCCACTGCAAGGGGGAAAAACCTGCACCCCCAGCACTCGTCTCTGCCAAGAAATCCACACCCTAGACTGGGGCAGTCACTCTTCCTTCACCCTGGCTTATTCTCCAGGCACCTACTGCCAGCCCTGGCTCAGCTGCTGTGAGCACTGCCCACATGCATATTCAGGAAGAGGACCCAGAACAACCTCTCACCAGGGCAATAACCTGCCTCTGGGCTCCCAGGAGGGAGGCAGGGGCTGGGGCAGATCCTTCCTCCAGCCAGTGCCCCATCCCATGAGATCAGAGTGCTGCCCAAGGATTTCACATCTGGCTCAGGCGCCCAGGAAGTGCTCTCCTTGTCCCAGAGGGCACCACTGACAATGCGGTCCCCTGCCCTGGTAAATATTTCAGCACCAGTCCAGTGACCTTTGGATGTCTGGGAAGAGCTAACACTCCCAGCTGCTAATTATACCCATGTAGGAGAAGGGAGGAAGACAGAGGCCCCTGCTCTGGTTCCAATATCCATTGAACAGAGCTGACCCCAGGCTGCTCAGAAGCAATAGGGCTGAAGCAGCACAGCAGCTGAAAGACCTCCAAGGGGCCCTAGGCTCTGTGCTGCAGGGCCCAGTTAGAGACAGCAGAGGGGCCCTGGCTTTCCTGTGGGCAGGAAGGTGCAGACATCTCTACCTATCAGCAAATTGGGCGGCAGCTGGTGCCAGGAGCACCCCCAGCCCCTCACTCCAGCCTTGTGCTTATCAACCCCACAGCAGGCAGAGTCACACAGAGAGACAGGTCACCCCACTGATGCAGAGCATAGAGGCCACGTGCATCGTCACTGCATCGTCACCAGGCCAAGTCTCCCACCCAGGCAGCCGAGATACAGGGCTGGGGCAAGGCTGCCGGCCCCAGCCCAATCAGCTGGGTGGTCAGGATCCCTCGGAGGGGCTGAGCAGCAGCTCCCAGCTTGCAGCCCCTGAGGCAGGATGACTCAGCAGCACACATGACCATCCCTCCTCCCCAGAGCTGGCTCTAGCCCTGCCCTGAGTGGGTGGCACTTCCCCAAGCCAAGCTCCTGCCACAGTGCAGAAGTGGGACACCAACCCCAGCATCTCAGCGAGGGATCCCAGGGCCTTCTTTCCAAGGCAACCCCATTGTCTGCCAGGGGCCCAAAGCCAACCTGGAGAAAGTGGGAGCAAGACTTTGGCTACTGGGAAGAGGGAGGGGAAGGGTTGGGAGAACAGCAGCACTTCAGCCATCCCTAGATCACACAGAGGAACCACTTCTCAGAGTGGGCCAAGACCTAGAGAATAGGCAGGAAGGCCTTATCAGCCCCATGTAAGGACACAGGGTAGCCAGCATGTCCTTGGATTCGAGCCTGCAACAGGCTGGCTGGGAGCTCTAGCAGCATGGAGTTCCCAGTACCATGCCCTGGGGAGCAAGTCCAGCAGGGCAGGAATAGTCCTGGAGCAAGGACGAGAGGCCTGGCAGCAGTGTTCCCTTTCAGACCTGCGCTGGGGGCAGATTGGGAAGTAGCTTGCTCAGAGCACCGTGGAGCAGTGAAAATGGATCAGCACCAGCAGCAGGGAAGGGGGAGCCAAGCCAGGCAGGAGGCCCAGCCAGCAGCTGGGGTAACCTCAACTGCCAGGACTGCAAGGAAGCACATCATGTAAGGTCCTAGCTGGGAGAGCTCAGGTCCTCAGCCTCCCAGAGGGAAGCAAGCACCTGACCCCATCTCAGAAGGTTTTCCTCAATGTCCTCAATCTTTCCCTTGCCCCAGCCTGTCCATCACAGCACTGCACTCCCTCCCACACCAGCAGCAGGCAGGTTTCAGTGACCCTGGACAGCCCAGGAACGACACATGCACCTTATTCACAGCAGGATAGGCCAGGGGGACCGGCCAGGGATACAGCCAGGAGCACACAGACTTTGGCTCCTTGCACACTTCCTCCATCAGTCCTCACTGAGGCCTGGCATCCTCTCCCTACAGCCAGGCAACCACTGCCCTACAACCTCAGGGCAGCTTGTCCAGCTGCCCACACCAGCAACAACACCATGTCTCCTGTTGGGCAACAGAAGGCTGGCACAAAAGGAAGTTGCACACTCTCTGTATTGCCCCACAGACAGCGCAGCTGAGACCTGCCTGTGAGAGCTCCCTGCCTCCACCCAGGGCAGAAAAGCCAGAGCATAGCAAAGACACATGAGCCCAGTCCTGCTTCCTGGGAAGCACCCCAGCAGGCACTTGGCAAGGGAGTCACAGGAAGCAGCAGCAGCTCGAGTATTTGAGTTGGGCGCTGCAGGTCACAAGGCAAGCCATGCTGTGCTGCACACGCAACTAGCCAGTGGTGTGGAGATGGCTGCCAAGCAGATCTAAAGAGAGTCAGCTCTGCTGAGGACTTTGTGTTGAGTCAATCTCCCACACGCCCACAGAGGGGAACTCTTACTCCAGTCTCACAGACCAGAGAATGGTGCAGCCATCAAAGCCTCAGCCCTAAGGCTGAGGTCACCACAGTAAGCAGATGCTGATCGGCAGGAAGAAGCGGGCTGCGGAAGAGGGGGCAGCCTTCCTGCGGCTCCACTGCTCTCCGTGTGCGACGCCTTGCGGCGTTCCCAACCGAGGGAAGCCGCCCGGGGCTCCTGGCAGGACAGCCCCACGCTGCTCCTATCAATCCACAGAAGCCCAGATCGATGTCACGAGCTGACCCGGCCTGAGGGTGAGCACAGCCCTTGCACCGGCCAAGCCCTGCCCGAGGCGGGCCCTCCGCCAGGCCGGCACAGCACCCTCACCAGAGGCCTCTGCCAGGCTGCACCGGCGGCAGGGCAGGCAGGCAGCCAGCCCCG